TGTGTGTGTGTGTGTGTGTGTGTGTGTGTGTGTGTGTGTGTGTGTGTGTGTGTGTGCGTGCGTGCGTGCGTGTGTGTGTGTGTGTCTGAGTGCAGGTCAGCGTGGAAAGAACAATGTCAGGCTCATCTGCTGTCATTGGTTCGAGGGTTCCCCTGCTGGATGGGGGCATATCGACTACCGGAATTCTGATTCATGGCGCACAGGAGTGTTCGATTGACTGGTCTTACATTATGGGCCCTTTTAAAGATGGGATTGTTGTGATGACCTACAACACAAGAGTTCGAGGGTCTGTTGTGGATGGGGCTCAACGAATCGGCATTGCCATAATTCACGAGAAGCCAGGAGCTATATCTGTGGTGAACAAAATCAAGTCCAATATTGTGCAGAATCTCGGTCTTCATGGCACCGCCATCGAGGTTCAAGGAAACGGTACCGATGTGAAGGGCAACACGCTACACGACTGGGGGAAATTCGGAATTGTGGTCTGTGGCCCCCCTGGTGGTATGTACAAATGAAGACCAACCAGTGTTGCACACCCCAACCGTCGGCGACTCTTGACTGGTCGGCTGCCGACCCGCCGGCCGGTCGGCTGGCGAACCGCCGACCGGTCGGCTGGTCGGCACCTACTGGTTGGGGGTCGTCAGCACCCCGCAAAAAAACTAATAAAAAATAAAAATAAAAATAAAAAATTTGGGTCCAGAACCCGTAATAACCCCACGAACACCCCCATACCAACCCCAAATACCCCCATACACCCCCCAACACCCACAAACGGCCCCTCAACACCGTCATACCCCCCCCCTCAGTACCCCCTATAGCACCCCTATATCCCCCTATACACCCCTCCCCCAACCCCCCCATCCCCAAAAAGTTCTCACCAGATTTGGGCTGTACTCAGCAAGCGCAGTACAGCTTCCGACTCAGATCTGAAAAAAAAATAGTGGATGGTTGTTTTCTGACTGGTCGGCAGACCGCCGACCGGTCGGGCCTACTGGTTGGCTGCAATACGGTCGGCGGTCGGGGTCGGCGGTCGGCAGGGAGGCAACCATGAGACCAACCCTTTTTGTTTCTCCTCTTTCTTTTTCGAATTGAATTTGGATATAATTATTATAATATTATAGTCATATTAAAAATCGACAGGTTCTGTAACTGTGACCAGGTTCAGTGAAGTCTGGGAAAGGAAAAAAAAAAAAAAAAAAAAAGAAGGTTTTAAGGAAGTTCCATGTGTCCCTATCTATCTTGGTCTGTTATGTCGTCTGCCCTGCAGTTTTTTTTTTTTTTTTTTTTTTCCCTGTTGTTAATTAGTTCCTAATATCTATCTTTGTGCTTCCTCCCTTGCAATTTCTTTGCGCTTCATCCATGGCACATTTGCTTTGTGCTTCCTCCCTGGCATTTTCTGTCCATTTCCCTGGTGGAGTTTGATTTCCACTTTCTGCTCTGGCGCGCTTGATTTGCGCGTCCCCAGTGACATTCGGTTTGCGCTTCCTCTTGGGCATGTGCTCCTTCGCTCGCATTTGCCTTTGGACTTCAAAAAAGAAATTATCTGCAGTGTTTGTGTTTGCTTTGCAATTCAAAAAGTGACACTGAATGAAAGTTGGCTTCTGCTTATGATAGTTAGCTTCAACCAATCGTGTGCGATTCACAGGAAGGAGGCACATGGCACATGGCCCTTGGTAACTTTGAGCTGCTGAGGGTTATCTCGCGGCTGCTCTATCCTTTCCTTTTGTTTTTTTTCCGTTTCTCTGGCCGATGGCCCTACAGGCCGTTGTGAAATCTCCACCAGCCGAGTTAAAGAAAAAAAAAAGATGTGTCAAACTGACTGACAGGAGCCCGGAAAATTCTCGAGTTTGATTCGTCTAGTTCCAGCTGGATTTGAACTCAGGTCTGTATTTCAGCAGCTCAGTAGATGAATCAAATTCGAGATTTCCGGCGAATTTCACATCCTGATTTCCCTGCAAACTGACAGTACTAAGTACTCCTGAGCGCTAACCAACTGTGCTAGTCCTGCCTCCTTTGTTGTATTGCAGGGAAATCAGGATGCGGAAAGTGTCACTACACGAGAGAGATGAAGTCGCTGCAAGAGTCCGATTACGCGTTTGTTGTGTCCGGTGCTTATGTGAAGGAGAATACTTTCTCTGGGAATGGTGTTAATGGTAAGTGAAACCCTGCTCGACTCGCTGCATAACGAACCGAATCCAGTCTCTCCCAAGTGTGTCGTCCTTCGATCGGCACCTGCAAATTCTTGTTCCCCCCCC